TTGTTGACAGATTTGATAGCGCACAACTGTAATCCTAGATTCTGGGGAGCAGAGGCAAGAGCACTACAAGTTCAAGCCCAGCCTAGTCAAGTTATGTTAGCGAAAACCTGTTCAAAAATTAGAAAAAACAATGAACTAGGACTGGTCTTAGGACTCTCATTCAGTGCAGATGCCCTGAATTCAATCAGTGCATCAACAACAATAACGATATTGATGATGATGATGAAAATGAGAGATTTTTCTATGCACCAACAATAAACTAGCTGAAAACACAATCAGAAAAACAAGTCATGATCGTTTCAAAAAATAAAATAAATTTTTTAGGAATAAGCCTGACCAAGGAAAGATCTCTACAATTAAAATTATAAAACATTAAAGAAAGAAATTGAAGAAGGCCCTAGAAAATATAAAGACCTTCATGTTCATGGGTTGGTAGAATTACTATTGTCCAAATGGCCACATTACTAGGTGATGTAAAGCATAAGACTCCTTGCATCCATTGCAAGAATCTAAAAATAATGATCTTCAGTGGTCCCCAGACTCTCATTAAATTTTTATGGTCCTGAGCTCCATCTAAAAGAAGCTAGGATGATACTAACTTTCACAGTTTTGGAGACTCTACATTTGTAAGTACACATATTACAGATATTCAAAGGAGAAAGTTGTCTTCAAACTTAGAAAGAACTGCAGAAAGCCACACCTGATTTGTAAGAGTTAGGTCTTCTCACTGCTTAATTACCTCATGATTTTAAGAAACTGGCAGTGATTCTTCTCCTTTAAAAAGCAGGAACTTTTGAGTCTTTCTTTTCTTTACAATTATAAATCTTAGTATAAATTTTACTATACCTTGCAATAATCAAGGTCTTGGGGGTAAACACAAAACTGTTGGAAGGTATGGGTGAAATCATAGGTACAAATAAACTGAAAGTTAAGAATTCTGCCAATATTTTATTCTTGGTAGAGAGATAACCCAAAAAGCTGAAGAAGGGGAGGGCTTGAAGATCTTACGACTGAGGATAAAGTACCAAACTCAAGGAAAAGCCAACTGTAAAAAGAGCATGTTGCTTGGAGTAAACAGAGAAGCCAGCATAATGTCACAGGCATCCTCTTTTTCTGTGGATGTCAGGGTCACTGGGACAGGAAAAATTATGTCACATTGATATATCTTCTATCACAGATGTTCTTGAATAAAGAAAGCAGAATTTATCATCAAAAAAATCTAAAAACTGTCATAAAATTCAAAGGTTTTCAACCAAAATCACTGAGGAAGATCGAGCTTCATATACTATAATATTCAGGAGAGACATGCCCCAAAACAGTCTGGTAGGTGTGGCTGTAGGTAAATGTATTACTTTTACAAAGTTCTCCTACCTATTCTATTATGCCTTGGTATCAGACTATTGATAGGTTGAATGTGAATTTATAATATAAGGTGAATCTAGACTTATAAAATTTATAGTTTCTTTTTCTTAAATTTTACACAATCACTGTTGAAATTTTGAGAATTTTTTTGCTGTAATACAATATACATGAATGCTTTTAAGTGAGCATTTAGAAAGCAATTATTTTCGCATTCACTTTTTTGGATGACTTGATTCTGAAAGATGGTTTAGACAACAGATAATTATCTTTAGTATTGTATCCAGGTAAAATAAATTAAGCAATGTATTGGGGAGGAATTATTGAATGGAATGAAGCATTAATCACAGAACACTTTCTGGAGAATATGAGATTTCAAAGGTTTCTGTGACCATTGAATTAACTTGAGTCAAAAACTTCCTCCACTCAGCCTAGACTGAAAGCTGAGTGATACAAAAGATAGACTCTTTGCCATGTCTAGTATAGATGTCAAGGATGTGAAAGTATCATCACAACAAAAAGGTAAGTGAATCTTGACTAAAAGAATAATACTCCACAAGTTTTGTGCATCTTTTTGGGAAAGCACTTTCTTTCAAGGAGGTAAAAGAATAGAAGTTTGAGAAAATGCAACCTGCAAAATAAAGGAATCAAAAGAGGATGTGCTATGTTTTGCAAATAGTGGGATGATCTTCATGTAAGAACTAGTGTGAACCAATACAAAATGCATATATAAAGGCAAAACTTTGAACCCACGTTAGTCTCTGCTCTTGGGGAGATCTTACAATCTACTAGCCAAGTAAGTTTTCAACATTTTGCTTTAAATTCAGGGTATGGGCTCTCACTACAAGTATCATCTTTCACAAATCAAGTACTTCTATGAGACATAGTTTCCTCATTATAAAACAAATGATTGTAATAACACCTATCTCTTATGGTATCTATAAACATATATAATAAAATCATGTAACTGAAACATGAAATAAAAATTGGAAATTATTAGTACTATCTAACTTACAAGCAAAGGGGAGCCAAAATATGACTACATGAAAGGAAAGCATAACCATAGATTTTCTAGGGCTTGAAATTTAGCTCACTGGCACAAACACTTGCCTGCTAAGCATGAGATTGTGAATCTGATCTCGGTCCCCCCACCGCTAAAGTTGAGGCTATAGCTCAGCAGCATAAGTGCCTGCCTGGCAAGCATGAGGTCATATATTGAGTCCCCTTTACCAAGAAAAAAAGTTTATTTGCCAGGGATTTAGCTCAGTCGCATAAGTACCCACATGGCAAGTGTGAGATCATGAGTTCAATCCCTGGTACCACAAAAATAAATAAATAAATAAATAAATAAATAAATAAATAAAGCAACCATACATTTGCTATAAAAGTCTGGTAGTAGATGTAGAATAAGAGTCGGGGAAAGAGGCACATATATTCATGTCATAAGATAAATATGCTATAATAGCAGAGGAAATTTTAAAGTAATTATGGAGGTGATTTATTGGGTTAAAAGATGTGGAAGGAGTAAAAATGTTTTATGGTGATACTTTGAGACTCTGTAAAAAACTCAAATACAAAACACAGGAGTGCACTCTGATATGTGCAGGTAGATGGCCAGTTTTGCTCTGGAAATCTTGTATTCAATATTTCGGTGGCATTCGGTACTAGACATATGGCAAAGGAAATCTGAGTCTTTTTTTTGATAGAAGCTAGAGTTGCAAAGTTACAAAAAGGGTTAACTGAAGCAATGAGAATGAAAAATATTTTCCTGTAGTGGTAAATACCCAGGAAACTTTAGGGGGAAGAATTTACATGGAATGATTGAAAGAATAAGCCATTTGAGTTTCAGATCAACATTGGGTTGAATTTTGTCCACCTGCGGATATTTGTATAAACTGTGACACTCCCTTTTCTGACCTTTAGATGTTTGCAGATGACAACATCTTTTAGATGTCACATTGTAGTTTCCTTTTAAGCATGGCCCTTCTCAGAGAGGGCTTTTCTGACTTCATCAACAGCAGTGGCTGTGTTCTCCCACATCGTGGTGATCCTGCCTATCTAGTTCCCCGCTGTCTTTCCCATGACCAGATGAGCCTGTCATATAATTGGAATTTAGTGCATAAATGTTGAGTTCATGACCTCAAGTGGTCACATAATCACTGTGCATGTTGCTTTCATATTTTGTGAAATCAGGATGCAAAATCCTCACATAGACAAATAAAGTTTGTATGAAGCGGCTGTGCCTAATTCTAGCTATCTCTTAAGTCCTACTGTTTGGTACATTATAAATACTGAGTAACTGCTGGTTACCTGGCCAGACCTTGTCTCTCTATGAACCTCTCTCCAAAATATGTATTTTGCCAGGCAGGCACTGAGCCTCTGAGCTATATCCCCAGCCTAATTAAATTCATTTGTCCACAACCAAAACAAGACAGCAATCTTCAACTAACACTATAATTGTTTAGTTTTTAATCTTTGTGAGTTCTTTAAAATGATTGCTAGTCAATGCTTCTCTTTCTCCCCATCCCTTCATTTTCCACACATGCTTCCTCCACAGTTTTTTCTTTCATATTTAATGCTAGCCAAGGTCAAAATAAAAATTCTATGGAGAATATTCATATCTTTTCTGCTTTCACCTCCTTTATGGCTTACACACTTACTTAACACCACAACAAATGAGTTTCAAAGTTCATCTGAGAAACATATGTTGATTCTTTTTAGGCCTGTTTTGCAAAGTAAAGCATTCAAATATAGCACCTAAAAAGTGTTCTGGACGTTCTGCTAAAAACTCAGTGGTTGATCAGGACATCAGCACCAAAATTTGCCATTCTGATATGACACAATATTTTGAAGGTCATATTTTATTGAGGTTAAGCCATTACATTATCTCATGCACTTGGAAAAGAACTTCAATGAAAAGTTCTTAAGACTTTCAGAGCAATTAATTTTGTGTTTCTCTGAAGCTTCAATTATCACCAAGCACATGAATCTAGGTTACAACATGTTAATTTAATTTTTTATCTAATAATTGTTACAAAATATTATCCTTGGAGCTATTGAATTGTAGAGAATACAGATAAAGATAGCATTGAACTGGAAGATACATGAAAATTCTTCTGGAAATTTTCACTGATTTCTACAGAATTATAAAATACTGTGTTAAGCTGAAATTATTTGAGTGATTTCATCATCATACTCATTTGGTCAAAACTTTACTAGGCACTCCTGAGTGCCAAGAGATAATTCTATTTTTAACAACAGTTTAGAAATGTGACATGTCAAAATCCAACAGGTGAGACGTTTACTCTCATATTTTCTCCTCCTTGCAGATCCAGAATGGAAGAAAGGAAGGTAGAGTGCTTCTGTGAGTAGAGCTGAAAGTGATACATGTGCCAGCTCTGCAAGGTTTGTGTGCAATGGTGGTACTAGACTCACTCTCATCATTCAGACTCCTGCCCCTCTTTGGCCAGTTGCACCTAAAGACATTTCTCGGGTTGACTGTGAGTTTTCTCCCACTTGTCAAAGACCCGGATTCAACTCTAGGTAATGTCAGTGCCAATGGTACTTTAAAAATTATCTCACAGTATTGACAAAAAGCATCTGTGTGTTACCAGGAGAAAGTCACTATGTTCATCAGGACAATGAACAATTACACCACAGTGAACACTTTCCTTCTGTGGGGCTTTTCCAGTTTCCCAAAACTAAAGAATCTACTCTTTGTGATGATTTTGTCCTGCCATGTGACAATTCTGTTTGCAAACGTGTCCATAATGGTGGCCATCAAACTCAGTCAAAACCTTCACACCCCCATGTACTTTCTTCTATTTAGTCTGTCTTTTTCAGAAAGTTGTATCACCATGGTAGTCATTCCTCGCATGTTAGTGGACTTGCTCTCAGAGAGCAAGACCATTTCTCTTCCTGAGTGTGCCACACAGATGTTTTTCTTCTCTGGTCTGGCATCCAACAACTGTTTCATCATGGCAGCCATGTCCTATGACCGTTATACGGCCATCCAGAACCCATTGCATTATCATGCCCTTATGACAAGAAAGATCTGCTTTCAGCTTGTGATGGCCTCCTCAGTGGCTGGGTTCCTGATTTCTCTGTGCATCACCACCATGATATTCAACCTGTCTTTTTGTGATTCCAACAACATACGGCATTTCTTTTGTGACATTTCACCTGTGGCTCATCTTGCATGTGATTATACTTCTTATCACGAAATGATTATTTTTGTGCTCTCTGCCTTTGTGCTAGTGGGAAGTTTTATTTTAATTATGATTTCCTACATCTTCATCGTGTCCATAGTTGTGAAGATGCCTTCTGCAAAGGGGAGGTATAAAGCCTTCTCCACCTGCTCCTCCCACCTCACTGTGGTGTGTGTACACTATGGATTCGCTTGCTTTGTCTATCTGAGGCCTAAGAGCAGTGACTCCTTCACTGGAGACATGCTGATGGCTGTGACATACACAGTGCTGACTCCTCTGCTTAACCCCATTGTTTATAGCCTAAGAAACAAAGAGATGCAGATAGCTCTAAGGAGAGTACTACAAGGTGTATTTAAGTTTTTCTCTCAGTTGACTAATAGAAAACCCTTGAATATTTAAAAATGATTAAGCATTAATCATTCTTGTCAATGAATTAAAAGAAATCGGTAGTATAATTATTTTAGTTATCCTGTATATATGTTGTTTTCCCTTTTTTGTTTCCTCTTTTATTATTTGATCAATTATTCATGCCAATATTTTGTAATTTGAGCAACTACTTTGAGGATAGCACACAATATATTAACCATTGTTAATTTCCTATTATCTTGACATGAAATTTTGTATCATTGTTTTTATTGTTTTTCTCTATAAAATAAAAAAGACAAATAATAAAAATGACTAAACATTAATGAAATTTGAAAAAATGGAGTTTTCCCATAAGAAAGTCACCACTTTGTGTACAAAGCAATTAGTGTTGTGTAGTTGCCTAATATGCCTTGGTCTCACCACTTTCCTACTACTTGTAGGATGTAATATTTCAATGCTACAGTATTGTTTTATCCACATATACACACAATAAATATGTTAAAATGCTTTGGAAAGCTATATTTTTATAATGATTGCTTTGAGTGTGGAAAAGAGAAAATTATCATACTAAAAAAAGATAAAGAAGTGAGAGAAAATCTAAGCTGGCTAAAAAAAAAATAGGAAGAGAGAAGAAAAAAGAACCAAATGGAGATAGGGAACCAGAGAGAGAAGAATAGAGGGAAAAAAGAGAGAAGAGAAAAACAGATGCTATTGTAATTAGAAAAGAGAAAAAGGGACAAACTAAATTATAATTAAGTCCAGAAATAAATATCTGATCACAATACAGAGGAAGTCAAAATCAGTTTAAGAGAATATTGTATAGAGTTCAACTGTATTAAAAATTGGAAATTAAAATCAAATGGTTAAATTTATGAAAAAATAAACTGACATAAAATGACCTCCAAAGCAGCAGATACTATACTTTTTAACATACAAATTTTTATGAGAATTTTTGAGAATCTAAGGGCTGTTCTTTCTGTTTCCCTCTGCTCTGAATAATTCTATTCAGTTTAAAATGATTTAGATCCCAAAAGATAAACAACTTCTAATTTATGAACAGCACAGTAGAAGAAAAGTGTTGTGCACTGCTGTGGTGGTGAAGTCTGAAATGCATTGTGGGAGTGCAGCTGATGTAGGCTGGTAAAGAAAATTTGATTTTATATTGTTCATATGGCTATGGTGGCTGTAAAATTTTAAATATTTTAAATAATTATAGATGCACCTCCTTAATAGGATACAGTTTGCAAAAAATATTTTCTCCCACTCTTCATATCATTCTTATTACATTTGTTTCAAATGCACACATTTTAATTTAATGCAGTTCATTTATATTTTTCTCATTTTTTGCTCCTTCTTTTAGTATTATAACTTAAAAATCCATTACTTAATCTGAAATATGAAGACTTTCCCCTGTCTTGCCTCCAAAGGGTTTTGTAGCTTTAGATTTTACAGTTAGGATTTTAATCCATATGGATTAGCTTTTTCATACTGTAAGAATAAGGCCCATTATTTTGAGTGTAGATCAAGCACCATTTATATTTAGATTGTTCATTCCTGTTACAAAGAAATTTCATTGATTTGCTATAGTCACCTCGTAGCTGACAAACTTACTGAAGTTGTTTATTTGGTTACTATACATTTTTACTGGTCCCTATGATTTTTAACTGGTTTTAGAATTTTTTTTAGGCATCTGTTTTCTCTCTGTAAAACTATGTCGTTTTCAAATAGGGATAGGTTTACTCATACCTTTGGAATCTGGATTGTATTCTTGTTAATAGTCCTGGCTCTTTTCAAAGCATGTTGTATAGAAGTGGCAACAAACTTTACCCTTATTTTGGTCCTGGTATTTGAGGGAAGTCACCCTGCCTTTAGCTATGAGGAATGATATCAACTGTAAGAGTTTCATAGTTGCCTTTGCTCAAGTTCATGAAGGTTTCTAGTAATACCCAAGTATTGCTATGCTTTTTCTATCTTCATTGAAATGACAATATGATTTTTGATAGACATGTGCTATGGATTAAAAACTGATGGTTGCCACTAAGGAAATCAAAATGGAGATTTCTCAGAAGACTAGGGATTGGAAGTTCCATTCAACTCAACTCTTCCCCTCCTGGTTAATTTCCCAGAAAACCTCAAAAGGTCATGTCACAGTGATATATGCACATATATGCTTATAGAGGTACAATTTATAATAGATAAATCTTGGAAACAACCAAAATGCCCAAATTGCAGAGTGGATGAAAAAGATGTGATATTTTTATACAATGGAATATTACTCACCTATAAAAATTATGATCTTTTAAAATAGTTTTATTTAAAGAAAGACTAAACAAAACAGAAAATGTGTAGAAATAATACATACGTTCAAAGAAAAAACAAACTAAGAAATCACTAGTTGATGTTAACATACTGTTCTCTTACAAATAATTGTTCAAGATACAAAAATGGAACATGTAAAGTGGGAATTCAAACAGCGACACCGCAAACAGTTCGTTCAACTATCCAATAAAAACTTAGTAATGTGGTTATCAATTCTATACACTTAAACATACAGGCAGTTATCCATATCTTCATTTAGGTTGAGATTGAACAAGCTAAGGCAGGGTAAAATCATTCTGAACAAAGAATAATAGTATTGCTGGATTTCACATCATGACACTCTGGGATCAGCAATGGGTACTATAGTGTCTTTTCAAAAAAATTTATTTAAAGAAAGACTAAACAAAGCAGAATATGGGAAGAAATAATACATACTTTCAAAGAAAAATATAAACAGTAAGAAATTCCTAGTTGATGATTACAGATTGTCTTCTTACATATAGTTATTCAAGATACAAAAGTGGAGTATATAAAGTGGGGATTCAAATAGTGAGACTGTAACCAGTTCTGTTCAACTATTCAACAAAACTTAGAAACATGGATGTCAATCCTATACACTTAAACATACATACAATTGTTCATATCTTCAATTGATGAGATTGAACAAACCCAAGCAGGCTAATATCACTCTGAACAAAGAATAATATTATTGCTGAGTTTCACATTATGACATTCCAGAATCAGCAATGGATACTTTAGTGTCTCTTTATTTTCAGAATATCTGTTCATTTCTTTTTGTAAAAATTTTTAAAATTTTATTTAAGGAGAAAAAGGAAGAAAACATAAAAAGGGTACAAGTTATACAGAATTTCAGAAAAAATAAATAGTAGGAAATCACTAGTTAATAGATTACATGTTGTCATCTTAGAAATAGTTGTTCAAGTTACAAAATTAAAGGATATAAAGTGGGCACTCAAACAGTGAGACTGCAAACTGTTCTGTTCAATGATCCAAGAAAACTCAGTAATATGGTTATCTATCTTATACCCTTAAATATACATGCAGTTATATCCTTAGAGCACTTTCTTTTCCTCTATTTTTTACAATGACAATTACACATTTTGGGTTTTATTACTCCCACAGTTCTTACTACTTTTCTTTGAAGACAATAAAACCAAAGGTGATATAACAAAACAGAGTCAGTCAAATCAAAAGGATGGACATAATACATAATGTAAAAACAGAATACAAGGTGATCAACAATGGTTACCATAATGCCTCTTGCTATCTTAAAAAGAATTGACTATATCATCAGTTACAATAAAATTGAACAAAACAGTAAAGAACAAGACCAATAAAACCAAAACATTGGAGACATTACAGTACTTCAAAAGAAGATAATAGTCAAACCAGAATGGGTGTCACAGTGAATCTTATTGTCTTCACAGTTGTTGCCTATGCTCTCAAACTTGGTACTACCAAGCAAAACAGAATAGAGGAAAATCAGTCAAAACAAGATAGTGAGATCAATACAGGGTTTCAAATCAAGTTAATAGAAAATCAAAGTGGATTATTGTAATATATCTTGCTATTTTTTTATTTATTTTTTACCTTAATTAAAAAGATAAAAATAAAAAAGTAAATAATAAAAAAGGAGATTGAGATAAAAGAAGGCATAATGACAAAACAGCACAGGTCAGAACATAACCATTTAAGCAAAATAGTGTTTCACCACAAGATATCCCAACATAAAAGTAGTTTATCATATTATCTCTTTCCTTGAAATCTTTGAGTATAACTTCATACACTGTAGCATCAAACATATCAAGATAATGTAAAACCATTCAAGAGAGTGATAGTATTACAGGGTATTTAGAACCAACTAACAGAAAATGAACAATGGTTTTTGTATAATCTCCTTGTCTATAAAGTTTTTGTTTATATTATCACATATAATAAAATCCAATAAGATACAACATGTTAAGACTGATGGAGACAGAAGAACTTTTTTTGCTTGATGGGACTTCAAAACAAGATGATATTAAATCAGCACTAGCTATTATGATGTCTTGTTTTCTCCAAAATAGCTGTTCCTACCATCCAACCTTCTCTGCCTCATTTCTGTTGAGCTCTTTTCTGTCATTAGTTGTCAGTTTGTCTTCTTCATTTCACTTTCTGCTCCATTCATTGTGGCCTCTCTGCCACTGTTTTTGGAATCTTGGTATTTTTCTTTTTTAGAATGTCGTGCAGCATTCTCTATGGAGTTCAATTGGTGGTTGCAAATTCCCCTAGTTCCTCTTTATCCTGGAAGCACCTTGTTTCTCCATTAATTTCTAGGGACAGTTATGCAGGATATATCAATCTTGGCTGGAGATTATTATCTTTCAAAGCTTGAATTATTTCCCCCCATGCTCTGTGATTTAATGGTTTGTGCCAAGACGTCTGCTGTAATTCTGATGGGTGTTCCCTTGTAAGTGATCTGTTTCTTGTCTCTGACAGCTTTTAATATTCTGTTTTTATATTGGATTTCTGGAATTTTGATTATTATGTGCCTGGGTGTAGTTCAGTTTGGGTTGTGGGTGGCTGGGGTCATGTCTGCCTCATACATCTGAGTATCTTTACCTTTTGCTAAATTAGGGAAATTCTCTTGGATTATTTCTGTGAATAGCCTTTGTAGTTCATTTGTTTGTGTCCCTACTTCCTCCTTTATGTTC